ATAAAGAAAAATTGTTCAAGGGTAATAATAACTAATTACAATCTAAAATTACAAACTACTAATTCAAAAAATCAATAATAATAAATAAATAAAAATAGAGAGAAAAATGGGAAAGAAATTGAAACACATGACGAAAGGCAGTTAGGGCCAAGAAGGGATTGGAGGTTGGATATATCGTTTTTCACGCAAAGTTCGGGCTATAGAGAATGGAAGAATCAATTTTCTGAAAAGCTGTATAGACAAACGTGAATATCCGAGACCATTTTTCAAATCATTACGCTGAAACCACATCCATCCAAATCATCGTTCTTTGAAACATCTCACCTTGAATTATTTCGATGAAATTAAGTCTAGAATACCAGATATGGAACGGAACATTTCATTACGAATACATACATTATATGAATTTTCAGAAGATGAACGTTCCAAACTCAAAGATCACTTTGATATTGTAGCCAGAAGTTGTACAGATGTGATCTTGAAATTAATAAAAAGTTTAAAACCGACCGAAACTCGAGCTTCTTTTTTGGAAACGTCAGAGAAATACATTTTCAATTACTCCAGCATTATCTCTTGGTCCTACATTTTGTAGTACGTCTATGAACATTAATGAACTCAACGCTAAAATCTAGCTTGAAAGCCTCATTCGTCAGACAAATTACCTTATTACAGTACTTGACAAAGATCATGAGCATTTCAAAACAACTCTCGTGGACTGTTGTAATCAATATGTAAACACAATACCTATAATCGATTACTCCCAAAACAGCATAAATCTCAATTATCTGATCTTCGGAGAAACCAGGTTTTAGTGTTGTGTTACGCAAACAAGAGTACAGGAATTATCTTTATGGATCGTCTTGACTATGTCACCAAACTATCTTCGATATTGTCTGATCTTGTCGAATTCTCCAAAGAAACCATTCAAAAAGATGCAACTGAGAAAACGGAACAGCTGCTAATTAAAATTCTAAGGAAGATGAAAGATAAGTTTATTATCAATTGTGGACTTCTGGTGGAGGCCCGTAGTTTGATTTTGTCCTCAGTGAGATCGGCGATATTCGTTGAAGGGCTCACCATTTTAGCGGCCCGTGGATCTGACTCCTATTTAGAGCGTATAAATGTTTGCTATCGCCTATCCTCGTGTATAATCGTCGACTTAAATCGCGACAGTCAATAACGGAATTAAATAAGTCGAATAACGAGAATTGACTTGAGAAAACATATTTTTTGAATATGAAGCGAATAAAACATAACAAAGCAAAATGACACGCAGGGAAGATGGCTGGGGAGCCAACTCCATTTTTAGTCAAGCGTTACTCAACATTTATAGTCAGACAAAAATAAACTACAGACATGTGATTAATGGAATAAAAAGGGCACACACATATACGCTCATATAAAAACAGTCTAGATTGATAAGCGAATAAATAACAAGGTCAAAGTATGGCTCAAGTAGAATGAATAGAATGGGATGTCCGAAATCTAGAATAAGGTGTATGGGCTTAGCATAATAACTGACACTACAGACTCTATGAACGTCTTAGACCGTTGGGTTCCGTTATACCGAAACTATACGGACTCCCGAAATTTCATAAGAAGAATGTTCCCCTACGTCCTATACTTGATATGAACAACTCTCCGTACCACCTGATTGCTATTTGGTTAGCTGATATTTTAAAACCCGTTTGAAATCACACCAATAGATACGACTCACTTGATTCCTTTAACTTTGTCGACTCAATAAGAAATATCAATGTAAATGGTTGAAAAGTGATCTCATTGGATCTCACTTCTTTATAGATGTTCCTCTCATAGAAACTATATGTTTTTATGTGACTATATTGAAAACAATAACCTTGATATTTATATCCCAAAAAATTATGTAAAAGAGCTACTTGTACGATGTACTCTCAATGTGTGATTCAGATTCAACTACGATCTCTGTAGACTAACAAATGGAGTTGCAATGGGTTCTCCATTGTGTCCCCTCTTGGCTTATCGTCTCATGGCCAATCTGAAAAATATGTTTCTTCGGTCACCAATTGAGGGTTTCATTTATATAAGAGATTTATGGATGATACTTTCATTGTTTGTGAAGGAGATACGGACCTCGATAAAATTTTGAATCGTTTCAGTAATTGTCACCCCTCAATTCAGTTCACATTGAAGGCAGAGGCAAACAAGGAATTTCATTTTCTTGATGTCCAATTGAAAAGAAGGTCAGAAGGTTTTTCCCAGAGATCTATACATAAAAAACTGACATGGAATGGTCAGTACACGAGATTCCATATCTGGGTCCCACTGAGTAGAAAGAGGAATTTAATTCACTCTTTATCCTCAAGGATCAGGCGAGTATGTTCTGCTGACAAAATGGATGATGAACTACTTCAACTTAGCTATTATTACCTTTAAACAATTTTTATTGATTATTATTCAGTTTTTCTATTGTCTATTTTCCTTCATATATGTCAGTTAGGCAATTATTTTCAATCGGGTTTTTTGAAGATTCTAGTAACTTAATAGTTGAATTAATGTGTCAATTAGAGCTAGGCCACTATGGATAATTTGGAAGCAATTGACGGCTGTTTCGTCCTAGATGGCTGAGGTTACACAGTAACACCATTCGATGCCGGCTCAGTGGTCTAGAGGTTAAGCGCTCACACGCGAGACTGACAGGTCCTGGGTTCGGATCCTGTAGGCGGGATCGGGGATGCGCACTCCTGAGGAGTCCCATACTTGGACGAATCGGCCGTCCTATGCTTCCAGATTTTCCATGGTGGTCTAGTTTCAATTGACTGATGAATTCAACTACTAAATTAGACAATAATCTTTCATAATTCAATCCCGTTAATTATTTACAGCCATCTATTCTTCTCTTACCCCTTGATTATTGCGTAATCTCATTTGATAATAAGAGTCCTGAATCAATTTATGATTCAATATCTTCGCTCCTTCAATGGACATATATTTATCATAGAACTATAAATGTGAATATGCAGCTTAATTAAATGATTTCATCGAAAAGAAGATTTTCTTCGCTGAGTTCTCTCTAACTTTACTCAATGACACAATGGCTTATTTTAATAAATCTTTGTTTCATTAAAAAAACAAATGATATTATTCTTAGGGCCTTTGAAGAATGATACATATATTCGTTTTCCATATAAACAACAAACCATCCAGCTCAGATAAAGCAATTAAGATAGAATATTGTGATTTGCTCATCATTTTATATGTTTCCGAAGGATCTTAAACTTACATAAACTCTTCGATTCTTCTATGATTACAACAAAAGTCATCTTATTGGTTTACAGTCTCTGTATAATTATTGTTTCATCTCCGAGTTTCTGAATTCCATCTTTTAATGACTTCATACAATCTTATTTGCATATATGTATACATATAGTTATGATTGATAATAATTATTATCCCAATTCTTCCCGTCATCAGTGTCTATTACTCCATATTATGTCATTATCTTAATATCACACGAATACGTTTTTAAGTATCTGCCGAGAAACCGCGAAATAAGATTAATTTATATTCTTCTGCCTCAACTGATATTTTGGCTTTATTCAAATCGAACGCCAAAAAGTTCATTTCAGCAATTATATTCCTAATTAATAAGCTGATTTTTCAATGGTTATATCATTATTTTGTATTTAATGAAACTATCAGTTTTAAAACGTGAAAGATCCATAAAAATTGTTTTTGTAATATATTCAAATATACTTTTTGAATATGTTCAAATCTTCTATGCGAATATCGAGGAAGATGTCAAATGAGGAACAAATAGATCATTATGAACGATAACTTAAATATTCATCTTATGATTTAATACTAAACGAATCTGAAATAGAGATTAATCACAAAAAGAGAAATACCATTTTCACGCATTTTTGTGTCCTATGTTATAAATATAAATACTACTTAGTAATACTTAAATTGCATATTGTTAATGTTGTTAACTTTATCGTTAATGTTATGTTTCTATTCAGTAATTTTTTTAAGAATTTTTTCACATAAATTAGTAAGCTTAACAAAAATTGTGACTAGGAATCCAAAAAAATATACTAATTCGTCAAAACTTCAGTAATACGATAAACCCCTTTTAGAAATCTGGATAGTGTAATGTGAGAGTGTAGCTGGGTTGAAAAATGTGACGTATATATACCATGAATTTTAGAGAATTTGTATCACCAGAATGTTCAAAATGTATTACACAAATGCTTTACATCTTTCAGATTAACAATGTTTTCCTATTGCACTATCGAAACTTTAATAATATTTTAACTATTAATTCCATCATAATAAAATCTATAACCCAATGATAATTTATATTGGCTTACATTTCACTATTTCCGAAAACCTCAAATGGATTTAATTACTCACTTTCTAGATGTTTTTTAGTCACTTCCATTTAAATTTTTCCCAGCATTTTAGAGCCCCTATGGGCATTTTTAGGGGAATTTTTCGGGTCTTTATAGCACCTTCCTACTTTCGAAAATAAGAATTCTTGTTCGGGACAGCTTACAACTTGGCAGCGTATCAAGAGGATATAAGGTTAGGGTATATTGTTGTTTATCCACTACGCTGACTACTGTTGGGATTCGTTTCATGACGAACAGATACGTTATCTGATAAGAATACATCGCATCTAGCAAAACAACGTTTTAGATACTGTTCATAACACGTCCTCTGACCTGGATAATTTAGTCGTAGGGTTTCATTGTTTTTCTGGATGACATCAAGAAAAAGCTTTAGGTAAAGCTGAGGTGTGATAATTCCTGTACAACTGACTAGCGATTTGTTTCGTCAACATTTAAACATTCAAGCTTTTCTGGGTAGAAACACCAACCTTTTGGTTACCGGTGGTTTTCGAGTAACAAATAACTGAAGACACTTTTAAATAGAATCCATGATTCAGAATAGCCTTCTTTTAGATTAGATTATAAAACTGATATGAGTAATTGTACTCAGTTTCACGAAATAACGTTATTGTGTTAAGAGTGGGAATTATGAACCCTTAAGGTCATTAGCTTCGAATGCCAAGGCCGAAGAAGCCAAATCGACTCCCTTTAGAGTTTATCAATGTACCTTTTTCCAAACCGAAAGGCGAGACTGTATATAAAACATGCTCTGAAGTTTATCCGGAAGTAAAAAGAGCGCCTACTAATGATGCTTACTTTTGGGTTAGTCGAATCTCTTGAATACCAAGATTCTTTTTTATTATAGTTTGAACCATGCTTTAAGACTGTAAAAGTTGAAAAGAAGCGACCAATAAGTAGGAGTACTTCGAGTCCCCGTCAACATTTACCAGAGTTACAATTTTTATTAAATGGGCCAATTCCGATTAATGTACGTTTCCTTTTAGTTTTTGAAAATAATCATTAAATCACCTCAAAGAAAGCTTACTAATAGTTATGTTGTATTATCAATGAGCTGTAACAACTCTTTAGATTCGGATTTGTGTATTAATGTTAGCCTAGAGCTTGTTCGTCCTTTTCTAGCAAGCATCTGAGCAAGCCGGTTAAAAGTGCAGACACCACTTCTTCTGGTAACAGGTAACAGGTTTTGATGACTCGGTGTGAAGACTTGTGTACAACGTGTATTTCTTCGTTCTTGACTTGTACCGGCTTGCTGCGTCTTAAGTTATCCTGATCTAGTAAGAATAAAGGGATATATGAGATTCAGAATCACTTCTCAATATTCTATACATCAAAATCAGATCATCTCTTAATTTGCGGTAGAACAGTGATGAGGTCTAACTTCTCAAGCCGCTGTGTATGGTGAACCCTGTAGTTCTGTAATCGCAAGAGTAGCTGCTCTTAATACCCTTTCCGAGTTATTCGAGCCACCTTTTAAATAGGGGCTATCAGCCTGAATCCAGTTTTCAGTTCTGGATCTCACTGAGATTTTATATACTGTAGTAAACATATTAGTGTACGACTTGGTAGATATTTGTTTTGAAACCCATAGGATTCTGAATCCTTTTGCAACCGCGGGGCAGTAAACCATGGTCTTTAGATCATGGCTCACTTTTACCACAAGATCATTGCGAGACCAGACGATAGGTATTGACTCCCTATGTTGTACGTATTTAACTTTGTGTCCCTTATGTGTGTGTGAATACACTTGACCGCGCTGATAGGTATCAGCCATGTTTTGGATTACCTAACCAGAATTTCAAAACTGCCTCAAGTACATATGCTTGTGTTCGTGTTATTTCTCGCCAAATTTCTACATCGTCAGAGCAATGGAGCATTGGGAACTCAGTTATGCTTAAAAGCTGACTTACACAGTATAAAATGTAAAGGACCTAGGACTGAGCCTTTCAATATTGCACTGTGTACTGGTTCTCAGGAGGAGAATTTAAATTTACTCTTAGTTACTTTTTGTTTTCGACCTACCAAGAAACCTTGGACCCACTTTAGAAGAGTTCAGGGAATTCCTAGGTTGTCCAGCTCCAAGAGTAGTATAATTTTCGGCACCTCACCAGTTCTTTGCTGAAGTCTGTGTAGACAGCAGTAACTGATTTTCCAATATCTAGAAACTGTCCATTTCTCTATTGCTATAAGGTTTGTTGTGCACGATAATCCTTTTCTGGAACCATGTTGTTCGCCGTTTAGCAAGCTGCTGGTTGGCCGAGTATAAAATCTCTATTTGGTATTGCATAAGGTTCTTGGGTGAGCCACTCGAGTCTTTGCTCTTACAAACAAGCTTATTTCATCCATTTTTCGTATTTATGGGATACGAATAATCTCTTCATGGGTAATAGGTTATTATCTGGACTTTTAAATACCTTTCGAATAATTTATATTTCGAATTCCGTAATCACAAGAATTATTGGAAGTATGAGCTCTATATATCTGGTATATTAATAAAATTGCTAATAGACAATCTAATTATCATTACATTTAGTGTTAAGACGATTTAAAATTAGCTGCAATCATCATAAGCTGACAAATATTGTTTTTATGTAACTCATGCAGTGTTAGGAATTCCGATAATTTTACACAAATAAGCAGGACTAAACCTGGTTTCGAGAGTCTTTGTCTTTAAGCACTGTACGAAATAAACTACCTTAGGTTTGTCCAGTCATTTAGATTGTGTCGAACTGTTGTCTGGATGAACAATACACTCATTTTCAGTTTGCAAAAGACAGGAAGTTGGGTGGCCTATGTTAGTCCTGTCAATGGTAGTCTCCCAGTTCCACATCCCTTTTGAATGCGTCGACAATTGGGAATTCGATCACGTGTTGGTGTAACGAGTTTCAGTCATTGATAATTAGATGAGAAAGTCGATATTCAACTGACAAGTAATTTGTTCTGAGCCTGTAAACTTTTATAGTGTTTTCCTAAATTCTCTTCTTTGGAAGACAAGAAAAATGAGAGCATATCAGAATCGAACTTATCACTCAGTAATTTAAAAAACTATGAACAAGTTACCTCTGGTTCTTCTATATGACTATGGAAATAGGTCTAGTTTAGCCAGTCCATCGTCATATGGGACTTTGTGATTCTGGGAGTCAGCTTAGTTGCGGTTCTTCGGATCTTTTCCAACAACTCACCGTCTTTTTCTAAGGTAGGGGTTAGCTGTTTGTGTGCAATACTTGAGTTTATGACGAGTAAACATTATGCAAAGTCAAGAAGGTTTTAGCGTCGACATGGCTAAAGGCCCTCCATATTGATCATAGGGTTCTCGAACCTGAACGTGTCATAATCCCAAAGAAACTGCAGCCAACGGTTCTTGAACAGTTGCATGCAGGACATCCTGGAATAAATCGCATGAAAGCTCTAGCACGAAGTTATGTATACTGACCGCATTTAGACACTCAACTGGAGAAGCTAACCAGTTCGTGTACCAAATGCTCATTAACAACAAAAATACCGCGGAAGGCAGAGCTGCAATCATGGCCAATGCTACTTCGCTGATCCACACATCATGGACAAACTTAACTTTTGGTAGTTGATGCATACAACAAGTGTCCAGAAATGTTTCTCGTGGAACATCCAACTGCGAGCTGCTCATTCAAAAAACAGCGTCAATTATTTCATCGTCTCGCGGTTTCATAACTAATAGTTGGCGACGATGGAATACAGTTGAATTCAGATATCTCCAGCAGAAGCTTTACTTGGCAGAAAAATAAGAGCACATTTTGATACCATTGGTCCGACACCAGATCTTGAGCCTCAACGAAACATCGATGAAGAAGCAATTCAATCAACATCATGGGGAACATAGACGACCGTTCACTGTGGGTCAAAACGTACTTGTTATTGACTATCGTGACAAACATCCTACGTGAATAGCTGGTCGAATCTCACAAAAGGAAGAAAGTGTGGTTTACGAAGTGTTAGTTGGCCCAGAAGTTTGGGTGAGTCATGCCAACCAACTGAAAGCAGCTGCAGTTGCCAGCAACGAGACCCGATGTAGAATACCTCTTGACGTTCTTCTGGACACCTTTCAAATCAAAACACCCGAAGTACGGGCCAGTCTCTGTGCAAGCAAAGAGTAGTACCACTTTTTTATTGCCTAGAAGGTGGACAAATCGAAAGCACAGAGCAGTCATACGGTTGCAGGCGAACCATAACACCAGATCCCACGAATCTGCTCAAAGGAGAGGTGTTAGCGGGATGTAGATTGAACTAAAGCGCGTTCGGTATAGCGCTTGAGGATACTTAGAGACTCTAGAATCTTACGTAAAAATTATAAATATAGTAAGTTTTTTCTTATTGTGATTCCTACTTCCATCCAACCGCGTTCTGATTTGAGGACTTGTTGAGTGAAGTACTGTCCAAGAGTCACTGGATTGTAATAAGAGAAGTCATAACAAGAGTCTGCCAAGACCAAGTGTTGAATTCTCTTAGCAAGACCTCATTCGCTTCATCGTTTGAACTTCATTAGACCACACCGATCGACAGCTCTTATCTTTTACATTTCAAGCGGCAAATAACTAATTCGCACGTCCCATTTTCATGGGATATGTTATCAATAACGGTAAATGGGATAGTGTTTCCAGTGAACAGAGATTCTCCTGCTCCTCTACACTTCTGGGTCGACTCTCACTAATGTGAAAGTTTCAAAATCAAGTTCCATATTGTCTGTAGACTGTGTCAGCCAAGTTTCTATGACTGCGTTAACATCCGCTTTGGTAGAGTATCTGTACATCTAGCTCGGATCGCTTGTTGAGCAAGTTACGGGCATTTATGTAACAGATCCGAAGACCATTTAAATGGTCTCGTAATGCACCCAAAGTAGCTTTAGCATAGTTCCCTGTCAAAACTTTACCACCTGAAAGTTCACAATCTGAAGGTTCTTCGCTCCAGCATCTCACCTTAATTTTAGTTCTTTTTTGGCCTCTCGTCTTTTTATACAGTCCGCGTGCGTCAAGTTTTTACGGACAAAATCTCTTGACCCCTTTAGTTTACATGTATTCTGTAGTATTAAGTCTTTTTCATTGGGAGGTTTAAATACTAATTTTAGCAGCCTGTTTTGGTTCTGTTTCAAGTCCGTTTGGATACCTAGTCTACAAACCTTCAGCAAGGTGACTCCAGAGATATCTTGATCCATTAGAGGCTTAAGTGCCAGGCAGTCAGTAACAACGTAGAACTTCGTACGCACTTACATCAGTTCGAGTTGCCATACCACATTATCACAGAGATGCAGTTGTCCATTCATATCCCGTAGTGGCAGAGGTAGTAAGAGTATAAGCAGTAATCGGAGAGATTAGGGTTTGGAGATGTTATTTAAAGAGTATAATCCAGTGAAATAAATTTGGAAAGAGGAAAAAAGAAGAGGACATGAAGAATTTAGAAGATTAGAATTTGGGAGAACACAAAGAGTGGATGCTTTTGCGCCATTGCAAACGACTTTGAGCCATGTCATTCAAGGTCTCTAACCATCGGTTACTATCATCTCGCGGATCCCAACCAGGTGGTCTACAACTACCAACATGACAGTCCACTTGTCAGTGACTTCATGGATTTGTGCCATGTTTTGGTCTGGCCGCCCCTAGCTTTCTTCCAACCTACTCCTATACCATCGAACATCGCACGTCGAGGTAGTCGGTCGTTGGGCATACGTAGCACATGTCCCAGCCATCTCAACTGATGAAGTTTCACTACTTCATCAATTGACTTGCTATCCTTACCTAGTACCCGTTTCCTAACAACTCCATTACTTACTCTGTGGTCCCAGGATATACGAGCAATGTTTCGAAGACACTTATAATCAAATACTAGTAACCTACGGATATCCTCTACTCGTACCGACCATGTTTCACTGCCATAAAGTAGGACGGGACGAACTGCTGCACAGCAAACTCGTCCTTTGGTTGGTAGACGGATATCTCGCCTACGCCATAAATGATGCAAGTTGCCAAAAGCTAGTCGAGCCTTCTGTATCCGTGCTGAGATTTCGTCACACACCAGACCACAATGACTGATGAAACTCTCAAGATAAGTGAAGCAGTCGACATGCTCAACTACTTCACTCCCTATCAATAGTTCGGGTGTCAATGCAACCCAATCCTGAAGCAACATTTTGCATTTCGAGGGGGGAGAATCGCATCCCGAACATGCTTGCATTGTTGCTTAGAGTGGTCAGAAGACTGCATTTTGTCATCGTCTTCACCAAATAGAACTATGTCATCGGCATATTCTAAGTCAACAAGTGAATCTCCTGGTAGAAGTTCAACCCCTGGGAGTTGAACTTAAGTTTACCTTTTATTAACCCACTGTCAAGCTCAAAGCGAGTTCTAGGCCTAGAGATTTTGCCCTCCTTGACTCTATAAACGGTGACTGAGCTATCACTGTGATCAGCCTTCGATCTCCCAACTACTGTCAGGGAAACTAGCTTTTGTTCAACGACATTAGGTCGTTTCTTATTCTTGATTTGTACTCATTCATCAGTTTTCACTGGAGGAGCAGTTACAGTTGCGTTACCCACAGTTTGGGGTTTTAAATGATTGTAGATGACTTGGGTGATCCGGCTTTTGTTTTTCCTTCTAGAAATGGACCTAACCATATGACTTGGTTTTCTAGGTGTTTCGTTACTGCTACTACTTGGAGAACAGGGCACCAAAAAACCTCCTTTCTTGAGTTTTTCCTTCTGACAGACCTCTTTGTAGCCTTTCATCCCTCATACAGCCTATTTAAGTCAATCATTTCTGAGATTATTTGGGACAACTTCACATCGATTCGTGTATCGAAAGAGCGATCACCATTATATCCATATCGGTTGCGCTTCTTAATATACGTTTTAGCATCGTTCACCATAGCATTGGCTTCGAATAGCAACCTCTGAGCATCCGAGCAGCATTTCTGGCATAACCACACTCATCCATTTTTACTCAACCACTTGAAAGCCGTGGGTGTTAGATTCGTGTAAACTTCATTGTTCCATCCTTTGCCTTCATCACGCTGCATGCCATTTTCCACGGGTTATCGACAGCCTAGGCGTTGGTAGTTGCCTCTTTTGTGCTGTCAAGTCATCAGTCAAAGGTATTCAAATGACCTAGAAACAAAAAAACGTTGAAACAAAAGCTGTTAACCAGAAAAAAGTGATCTGTTAAGTTCAAAAATGCAACAAATAAGAAAAACTGATGTGCTCAATATAAGTGCAGATGCAAAATTACTTTTGTCAAGAACGATACTGTTGATGTTACTTTTACTGGAATTAATCCAATTTAAGTGAAAACAGTAGTCTTGATGCATAATAAACGATCAAAACGATAAATTTAACTCAGCGAGGGAAAATGCCACTTTTTTTAAATAGTGCCCGTGAATCAATTAGGATTTTTCAGAAATTCGTCATATATCAATGAAGAGTACTTAACTTTTACCATTGTTGAAAATTTCTCTCATAAAGCACAACTAAAAATTGGCTATATTCACAGTTTTGCCGATTTATTATCCTTGTGAAGTGTCACCAGTTGATATGATGAACAGGAATTTAACCTAACTGTCAGGTCTCGTTTCAGTGTAGAGAGACCTATAAAACCGATGTCCTCTATTTGCTTTTGATATCGAATCATATTTATTTCCCTGTTAGCAGTTTGTATGTAAGTGTATGCCAGTTATCCGGTCCTCTGATCAGTTATCGCTTGGTCACATTGTATCATTGCGTCACACCTGTCGATCTGGATTTTACTTTATTTTCAGCAATTCGAATCTCCCTGATTAAAACATTAGATAACTTGCTCAAATTTATGTTTAAATATAATAAAAATAATAACAATAGTATTAATAATAAATTTGTTCGTTTTCTGATGAATTTTTAATAGGTTCACGTAAGACTTATCTGTTTTTCATGAAACGGTTGTACATAGATCTAACATAGCATTTTGTTTCTTACTTATTTGTTGGGTTGTGATCAACCAGACAAACGCAACGTAGAACCTGGTACGTATTTACATCGCTTCAAGTTGCCATATCCCATTACAACAGAGAAATGAAATTGCGTAGACAAATTCCAGAGTAGTAGACGTAGTAACTGTATTAGTGGTAATAGAAAAAAAAGTTAGGTATCAAATATACGATTCTAGGAAATATTTTGGAGAATCCAGCTTAGAATCTGGGAGAAGACAAAGAATAGATGCACCTGCCATGTCATTCAAGGTCTCTAACCAGTGGTTACGATAATCACGCAAACCCAAACCAGGTGCTCTACACCTATTAGAATGGTTCAAGTCATTTGTCGATGACTTCATGAACTGGTGCCATATTTTTGTCTGGCTGCCCACAGCTTTCTTATGGCCTACTCGTACACCAGACAACTCCCGTTGAGGTAGACAGTGGTTGAGAATACGTAAAACTCGTCCCAACCACCTTATTTGATAAAGATTTACTAGCTCATTAGCCGACTTGCCATCTTTACCTAATACCCTATTCCTTACACGAGAAATGTTTTGAAAACACCTACGAATATCCTCTCTTAATGGATATGTGGTCCTTTGTTTTTTATATTATAACATGATTATTCCGAAAAATTTTCCACATGCAATTATGATATCATTCAAATGTCTATCAACACTACATAATAAAAAAAGCAATATTTTCAGTTTACTAGGTGAATGTTTCGGTATATATATATAATATCCGTCTAGGGAAATTTATGTAGACACACGAACCGGAGTAATATCAGTTTAGCTGGAACCATTGTTTTTAAAATAAGTTTGAAGTGATGTTGCCACTGAACATATTTATTTATTTTAACACATAGATATTGGTACAAGGAGGCACCAAATACAAATGTGCCACACAGATCTCATTTAATATGTGTAAAGGCTGTTATACTGCCCGAGTACCCAAACCAAAGCAGGTGGTTTTCTTAGGGGGTCACACCCGGAGCCTTCGACCTGAAGGTCTGATCCACAAGGCAGTGGAGCAACGTCAGGAGATGCATTCCCATGGTAGCCGATGACCAACGATTGGTTCATACGCAATTTGTTCCTTCAGGATACTGGAGCCCATGTGCACTATTAGTTTGGAATGAGGGTCTCCCAACTCCCCCAGGTGGAGTCTCCATGTCCACCAACCCGGTTAAAGCGCCGGCCATTCGCTTTTCGTCCTCTAAGTTTAGTAAACAACACCCCCGCCACGATAAGGCAGTAAGTAGGACTTCCCTGGCAGAGGCTATATACGCGTGGCCATGTGAGAATTTCGAGAGGGAGAGCAGACTCTCCCTACTCTCGGCCGTACCAGGGCATTTGGGGGCCACTGAATTTACAAAATGGTTAATATAAGTTATGCAAAATCACGTATACTTGAGCTACCTTGCATATTGTATTTGCCAATCATCTTAACAGATATATTTCACGTAATTCTGTCTTAAACATAAAAGCCGATTAACAACTTTAAAATCCTAGTTGGCAGGCTGAGGATGATGTTCTGTCAACGTGTAAAATCGCTGGCTGTCGGTAGGTACAGATTTCTTGATTGAGGTCTCTTAATAGTCTCAGTCAAATGTCAAATACGTTGGATGACTTGGCTTAGAATCGGTTCCTAATACTGCACCTGGATTCAGTTCCTATATTCCAATATATTTCGAGTTGTATCATCGTATCCCTTCATTCTTTGATCTGATTTACTCAATCTGAACCATGTTTCTGAATTCAACTTTTTATTTCGGGTCTTATTTCCCCTGCTGCTTTTCACTTTGTCCGTTTTCTTTCTGAGGTGACGTAATATGTGACATTTTGCATCAATACACATTCGTTTCAGGTCCTACGTCATCATTGACGGACTGTTCTCCTAATTTTACTATTTTACTACGTAGTTTTAAATATTAGTAATGTAAAAAGTATTTTTGTTGAAGTAGATTTACATCATCTGTTTTCTGATTTAATTGATTTCTCCCTGTTTAGTCGATATCTTCTCTCAAAAAACAGAAGTCCTGTCCCTTGTTCCCTTTGAAGTCACCTGAAGTGCTTACTCGAAAAGTTGTTGTGTTAGTCGAAGAGACTCCTGAAAGTACTAATCGTATGACGCGAAGATATTCAAAGTGTGAGTTATCTATTGTACGATTCCTATCTGTATTATGTTTAATAAGGAAAGGATATGCTTCCCTTCCTCACTTAGACGGTTATGGATTTTGGACTGACGGAAGTTAACCATTACAACTGATTATGAGTTTATGTATAAATAAGCTTGATTAGATTACGTTCTTAAAGTTATACTCATGTAATTTTTCTTTTAGATAATTCCACGGTTAACGCTTTGTCTGAACAATTATCTGAATGCACCGAAGATATGTTAAAGCTGACAATTAAAAAATAACATTTCATTTTATACATCTTTTTGATTTGGACATTTGCATAACTGTATGATCACCTGCCTTCTCACCTTATGTGCCCTTTTTTAGATAAATAAATCATCTTTTTTCAAATTACGTCGTATTGATTTTGACTTTCTAAAAACTGTACTACTCGTAACAGTTTGGTTTCACTAATTAATTTCCTAGATTTGTTCGTGTTGCTTTGAAAGTGTTGTAGTGAACGAGAATACGAGTGGGGACAATCGAATGTATTTAAACACAAACTTGCAGAACATCTTAGTAAAATCTGAGAACCATGCAGTAAATACTTAATTTGCAAAATGTCAGTCAATCGTCTCAGACGTCACTGTTCCTTCATTTCCACAGCAACCATTCTCATTCTCTTTTTTCGATCTTCTTAACCTTCTGCTGCCAGGTATTTCACTTTCGATTGATGATACATACTACTTGTATCTGTTGACATCAGAAGCACACACCACCGTACCACATTCTCTCTTTCTGCATTGTAGCTGAATTGTCTTAGTTATGAAATCAGTCGATTTGATTAACTGCAGATTGAATCTTAGAGTTTCCGTTCAGCATATGTTTGTATTTCCGCTTGTATGATTTTGATGCACATTCAAAAATAGTTTCTGTCCAGTGATTTCAGTGTATCCGTGGTTATCATTGAGAACCATGGAATCAGTATTTTAGGTTATTTTCAGTGATGTATAAAGTTATTGAATATGCTAATCAGGTGCTTAATTCTTTGGAAAACAAGCATATGGAATAGCAAGTTTCGCATTGTTACATCCTTCGTCCGTCTACCCACTTACATACAAAAGAGAATTTGTCTCAATCTAGTTTAAGGCTTTGACGCGGTAGGCTGTTTAGTACAACACTGAAGCTAGCAATGCGTGAGTCTGATTGTAATTGAATGGCTTTGAGGGCGGAGAAGAGAAAACTATCCTATCACCTTATATATATATATATACTTACACCTGTTACTCCTCATGAAAGAGCATAGACCGCTCACCAGCATTCTCCATCCAACCCTGTCCTGCGAAATCCTTCTCAGCTCCTTACAGTAATTATTCATCCTTTTCATAACTGCTTCGATTTCCCGACGTAGTGTGTTCTTTGGCCTTCCTGTTTTTCTCTTCTCTTCAGGATTCCAGGTTAGGGCTTGCCTCGTGATGCAGTTTGATGATTTGCGTAATGTATGTCCTATCCATTTCCATCGTCTTTTCATAATTTCTTCAGCTGGAAGCTGGTTTGTTCTCTCCTAGAGAAGGTTGTTGCTGATGGTATCCGGCCAATGGATGTTGAGTATCTTGCGTAGACAACCATCTGTAAATACTTGTACCTTCTTGATGATGGTTGTTGTAGTTCTACAAGTTTCAGCTCCGTACAGTAGAACTGCCTTGACATTTGTATTGAAGATTGTGACTTTGATGTTGGTTTTCAGACAGTTGTTTTGAGTTCCATATGTTCTTGAAGTGTAGGAATGGCGCTTGGTTAAACAGGAGTTGGAATGCCAACCATCTCCACTCCGCGTCGTTTCTCTTCTCTCTAGTCCATTCACTTCATATACAAAATATATGTATTCAAAAGTCCATTCTGTTATTTGACTTATATAGATCCGTTATTGACTAACGCGATTAAAGTCGATGATTATATACGAGGATAGGCGACATATATATTTAGACAACAATCATCATTACGATCTAATTGGAGTCAGATTTCGGGCCTCTAAAGTGGAGAGCCCTTACGACAACATGGTTCGATCTAAATGACGACAAAATAACGGGCCTCCACAAGAGACTGCTACTACATTGGCTGTCTTTATCTGCATTTGTTCATGTGTATGCGATAGGAGGGCTAGGTCATCTGCAAAGTCCAAATCGTCTAATTAGTTCTGAGCTGTCCATTGTATGCCATGTTTTCCGTCAGATGTCGAGTTCTTCATAATTCAGTCGACCACCAGAAGAAAGAGGAAGGGAGAGAGTAAAAAGCCTTGTCTGACTCCGGTCCTTACTTGGAATGCATCTGTCAGCTGTCCTCCATGCACGACTTTGCATTGTAGTCCGTCGTATGAGTTCCGGATAATGTTGACAATCTCAGCAACTCCGTAGTGTCGAAGAAGTTTCCATAACGTTCTCCTATCTACATTGTCAAATGCCTTTTCATAATCAATGAAGTTGATGTATAGTGATGAGTTTCACTCAATTGATTGTTCCGGAATTCAGCTTGTTGATCTCGAAGTTGGGCGTCTACTGCATCTTTCATCCGGTTCAACAACACTCTGTTGAAAACTGTTCTTGGTACTGACAGTAGTGTAATGCCTCTGTAGTTTTCACATTTGCTCAGATCTCCTTTCTTTGGAATCTTGATGAGGTGTCTTTCTTTCCAGTCCATCGGCACTTGTTCCTCCCAAATCTTTTTGAATAGAAGGTGAAGCATGTTTGTAGTTACTTCGATGTCTGACTTCAGTGCTTCAGCTGGTAAAATTGTCGGGTCCTGCTGCTTCCCCGCTCTTGATTTATCTGGTGGCCATTCTGATTTCTTCCGTCGTTTGTGGATTGACATCTATAGGAAGGTCTGTGTGTGCTGCCTCGATGTTCGGTGGATTCATTGGAGCCTGCCGATCCAGGAGTTCCTCGAAATACTCTACCCATCTCCCGATCGAAGCTGCTACCTTGACGCGGTGGTCGGGCTTGCCTATCGTGATGACCCAACCGAGCTATATTGGCTGGAACATATGTTCCTGCAGGTTCTACCATGCCAGGCAGGTCGATTGGAGAACGGTGAGACTAAAAGCAGCAACTCAAGGTTTGAGGGCGAAGTCGTACTGCTGACTGTACAGAGGTGTGACAGCAGTAAGGTGTTTCCCTCGGACAACCAGCATGACAGCGATGCTGCCTTCCCACAAGGAGGGGTGGGGTTAGAAAAGGTCGACCCTAAAAATGCACACCTCACCTTACCTCACGGATTTCCGTCTCCGGCGGTAAGGCCCTTTGAAGAACGGAGCTAACACGTCAAAAACCTTCCACAAAAAGGCCGTGCGCGACCGGCCTCAAGCAGTTGTCCCTTGGGCTCTGCGGTCACGCTCCCAGGTCGTCAAGACCAACACTAATCCAATTTCCTTTTCAGGTTCATCAAGAAATACCCCTCCACGGTGTGGGAAGCCGGGAAGTGACATCAGCCCTCATACCCGTAACAGCACAAGAGACCAAGGTGGTCACATTCAAATCCTTCCTACACCCCCTAATACCTCTCTTATCCTCCCGACTAACCCTCCTCACGTCTCTTTATCACCTCGCACCGCTAGGGCAAACGATTCGAGTACGTGGAACGCCATTCCTGGTCTCCTGAAACCACGCTCTAAACTACACGTTGGAGCTTTTAACGTACGAACACTTTGCCAAATAGGACAGCAGGCTTCCTTAGCTAAAACTTTAGAATCTCGCGCCATCGATGTGTGCAGCGTCTCCGAAACGCGCATACAGGATCCAAGTAGCGTCATTCATTTGACCTCACCATGCCAAAATAAAGAACCGACTCGATTTACGCTTCGTGTATCTGGAAGCCCTGATTCTGCTTCCCGTGGCCTCGCCGGCGTAGGTATAGCATTGAGTCCTAGGGCAGAACTAGCTCTCTTAGAGTGGATCCCAGTAAACAGTCGTTTGTGCGCTGTCCGACTGAACGGAACAGTAAGAATCCGGAAAGATAGGGACACTCGTCGTTGCCTCTTCGTCGTCTCAGCCTATTCTCCCACTGACTACAGCTCAGATGATGTAAAAGATGAGTTTTACAGAAAGCTTTCGGACCTTCTCCGAAAAGCTAAGCGCTCGGATGTAGTAATAGTGGCCGGTGACTTTAATGCTCAAGTAGGTAAACTAAGCGATAAGGAAAGACACCTAGGTGGATCCTATGGTGTCGTGGCTCAAAGAACAGATAATGGCGACCGTCTGTTGCAGCTATGCTCAGATAACCGCCTGTTCCTTGCAAATACTAACTTTAAGCATAAGGAAAAACATCTTTTAACATGGAGAACCCCTAATTCGTCCCAACGTTGGACCCAAATAGATCACATCGCTATCAGCCACCGATGGAGGGGCTCGATAGAAGACTGTCGCTCATTCTGGAGCACATGCCTAGATTCAGATCATGCTCTAGTGCGAGCGCGTATTTGCTTGCGTCTTACTGGACGTAGGAAAGACGCTGCAAGGAAACCTCTTAGGGCCTACTTAATGATAGTCAAGCTAAGAATATATTTCAGGAACAACTAGGAAAACAGTTAGGCAGCCATGTTTGTGATGCCCACCCCGAGGCAGCATGGAACGATATCCGAAAAGCTGTGGAGACAGCAGTGATATCTGCTAGTAAGGTAAACCGTAAAGTTAGGGAGCAACACTGGATCTCAGCAGCATCTATCGCACTGATAGATGCTCGAAAACTCATTCCACCTGGCTCTGAACATAATGAAGAGCGGAGTCAGCTTAAGCGCAAGCTGACAAGAAGTCTACGCAATGATCGCGAACAGTGGTGGGTAGCGAAAGCAAGAGAGATGGAAAAGGCAGCGGCAATAGGTAATAGCAGACAATTGTTTAGACTCGTTAAGGAAACCGGAATTAGGAACCCGACCGTTAGCGAAACAATCTCAGAGAAAGATGGACATATTATTCATTCTCAATCCAGGAGATTGGATCGATAGGCAGAACACTTCAGGGATCAGTTCAACTGGCCTTCAGCCACACTTCGGTTTCCCACGATCTCCAGTCAACCTGAATGGCAAGTTAATGTAAGTCCTCCGTCCCTTTACGAAGTTGAAAAAGCCATAGGAAATCTGAAACGAGGGAGAGCAGCAGGCCCTGACAGGTTTACTCCTGAGATTTTTAAGGATGGTGGTCCAGTATTAGCAATGAGATTAACTGAGGTCTTAGGTAGGATTTGGGAACTGGACGTAATCCCATCTGACTGGTCTCAATCACTGATTGTGCCAGTTCTTAAGAAAGGACAAAAGTCCTCTTGTGACAATCACAGAGGAATCAGTTTGACTAATATAGTGTCTAAAATATTAGCCTCAATAATACTTCGACGCCTAACTAAAGCTCGTGAAGAGCAGA